AAAATTGCTTTTCAGAATCAGGTATACTCTCCAGTTCAGTAGATATGCCTAAGGGTATAATGGTTATGAATAGACACGACCTTCAGAAACAGCTAGATGCTGCTCCAAGAGAGGGCAATGGTAAAGTTTCTAATACGTTCTTGCATCCTGTTGTGCAAATAGAAAAGACCAAGTTTGTCCCTGTGTTTTACATTTAATTAAACTTTCCTATATTTGTGAAAAAGCTAATATATAGGAGTCTGCTAGGATTCCCCGGATAGACAGACGAATAGAGTTGATGAGAATCAAATTATCGAATGTTTTCTGGCAGAGAAAGCAGCACATGCAATATAACAAGCAACGATTGTTCATTATGTTCTTGGCGCAGCTGTATTACTCAGAATTACACGTTTCCTGGAATACTGGAATAAATTATTATTCTCGAACGGTTGACTTCCCTTTGTTGCAAACACGCATGCGCAAGTGACCAAAAAGTAACATGGTCAGATTAAAATAACTGTCTGTCCGCATGTAACAATTCGAAAACCACTGAATGTATTCTCATGGAACATGATACTGGCGAGTTTTGCTAAATCCTGTTGGAATTTTACAATTTCTGTTAAAATCGGGCAAAAATAAAGGACACTTCATATGTGTGCGTATCTAAGCCTATCCCGAGAGCATAACTGTAAAGAAGTATACTTTTTCTTATCGGAGCAGAAAAATGATCTGAACAGAAGTTGTGGAGAAAACATCTGATCTTTAATCCAGTCCCCCCTCCCCGGAAGTCTCAAGTTTTTTCGAGAAAAGTGAACGACAATGATCGAACGCGCCAGAATTGCTAAGTTAGACGTTTATTTCCGCTATCTTTTCAATAAAAAATTTCACAGGAATCCATTGGGTATGCCTAATGTTTCAGGTCAAGCAGGCGTACAGACGTACATGACTTTCCTCTTATTCGTTCACGTTATATGAAAACATATAATAAGTTTATAAGACACTGTGATATGTGAAGTCTTACTACCGTGTTTTTAGGATATTTGCTAGCGGTATGTGACGGTGAAGTAACCAATCAGAATGTAACATAAATTCATACGGGGAATGACGTGTGGCATATAGTGAAGTCTCCATGTTTGCTAAACAAACACAACTCCATTGTTCTGCTACGTACAGTACAGTAAAGGATTTCTGCAACGCACATACTAGAAGCCGGCGCCGTAATATGACTTAGGTGCTATAGACACTGTGCTTAGGGACTATGAAAGAAACAAAGAAAAAATAAACAGTTTCAACTGAAGTGGGAACATTGTCACTGTCAAAAAAGAGAGAAAGAAAATCACGCAACTGAATCCACTCCTACGCGTAACATTACATCAGGTGCTAAAATAATACTGCATTTGGCATACACATAGGAGTTCGTATAGGTTTGTGAATATTGTAGCCCTGGCAGTTCATGTTAGAACTAACAAAGATTGTCAGGCGGTAGCGTAGTTGCTGAGGGGCTATGCTACAAGCCGAAAGGTCGCGGGTTCAAGTCCCGATGAGGTCATTGGATTTTTTTTTTCCAGTTAACCTAATCCTTCCAGCCGCATTAG